ATATCATAAAGCCTGCCATTTGAAATAAATAAATATATATGAAAAAGTATTAAAAAAGGATAATCAAATTATGATGAAGGTGGATGTTTTAAGAGATAATGAGTTAAACAACAGCTGAAAGTTATTTACTTAAAAAAATTAAGGAAAGTTTCTCATATTATTTTAAGGTTTGCTAAAGAGGAGCCTTCAAGCACTGAAATAGTAAATATTATACTTACCAATCTGATCCAAAGCTTCGTTGATACTTAAGATCATGTTTACAAAACGAATGAAGAAGCTAGTATTAGGATCGCGCGCTGTTTTAACCTCGGTAGGAATTGCGGATTCTTCAATCGTTTCAATTGCAGTTTCGGTTTCTGGAATTGAATTCTGAGCAACTTCTGATTCCGTTGGAGGGAGACTATCCAGAAGTCCAATGAGAGAACCATCAATTGAGCTGGAAGAATAAAACATGCAATCGAGACAAAAAAATCAATAAAAACATGAAGGGGTGTCAGTATCAGAGTTGTCTTTAATGTTATTATGCAAATTCAGCAAATACAAACTCTGATTACTATGCGACAGGCCTAGATGACAGCTCAGTTAGGCGACAAATTTTAGCCATTAATTAAAATTCTTAAATGCAAATGTACAAGGTCGAGTGATGAATACCGGTTGTTGGATGACTGAGAGAGCAGCAGAAAAGCATACCTTAGTTGGGAGCGATTCAGGTGCCCAGGCAGCGAATCACATTATTTCAGAAGTGGCAACAGTCAGGTCAAAATAAGGGCCATTAAGGGCCAAATAAGGGTCATTAAGGGCCTATTATCAATGGGAAGGGATGGAAATATTTCACGGACAAATTCAACAAAACGAATCCCAGTTCAATGAGACTGCAACTCGATGCTTGAAACTTGTCTTAATGGCAAAAAATTTTGAAGTAGTGAGGTGTAGAGAAGACACCTTCCAACCGATAAGCTTTAAAGGGAAACCCCTTTCCAACAGACGTTCTTAAAACACAATGCCGAATAAACTTTTCATTGGTTTATCAAAACGGTTGTAAAAGTTTAATTTCATTTGAAAGACTGTTCCTTTAACATAAATAGTGATAAATGTGCTCATTCTCATGTCAAGAAAAGGGGTCTTTCTTGCTCTGTTCTCAAACTTCTACCCCGCACATAGAAAGCGGTGTGGTCGAACATTCTGTTCACTTGATGAGAGTCGAACACCTTACACTGCAACGTTGTACTTCAGTGTGCAATTTCCATCATCTCAGTTTAAACCTACGATTAATGTCATTTTCACAGCACCTGATGCATGCATGATGGCTCATCGAATTAATTTCTGGGTGGGGAGTTTGGAGGTCAAACAGTGGGACTGGCGTGGTCCCAAGAAACGGCTCAAAATCATTTTTGACTTTTGGTTGTGTTGAGGCAGGGGTCGAATCCTTCCATCTCCACACATATGACCTATCACTGCCGACCCTCATTCACTATACAGACCTTAACTACTACACTGGTCATCAATACCACCAAGACACCTGAATTCAGCCTGAACCTCTAAGCCCCATATTATATCACCTTTTCGGTGCAAAGTACAAGTTTCATGGTGGAGGCTGAAACACTCAAACAATTGTAGTGCCAAAGCCCGAGTACCGATGTCAGTGTAATTCAATACTGGCGCATTAGATCTTTGAAGAAATCTGCTTCACTAACGCAATCAAATCAGATTGGCTGCTTTATTCCTTTCTGCTAGTTTCAACAGCCTCACAGTGTCCATTGGTACTCTCCAATTCATGTTGAACAAAATCTCCTTATTCCAATGGTCTGTTCAAATCGTCATGATGCAAGTTATTCTCTCTCATGGTTCAGATGGATTCCAGTCCTTCATTCTCGTTGTCATTACGACAAGGAATGCGGAAGAATTTAAATTGTTAAAAGAAGCATAGTGTGCAAAGGCACCTTTGACACGTCTAGAAAAAACTTTAAATTGGCTGACAAGTGGTCCAAATTGACCGCTTAACTTTTACCCCTATTTAAAAATAACCATTATATCAGGAAGATAATCAAAAAAGTTTAAGGAGAATGTTAAATAAAAAGGTGTTTGAAAAAAGGCTTTGTAAAATAACGATTCCCGGCTTGCAAGATATATTTTTCCCTATCTCAATATCAAGACCAATCTTAGTAGAAATAGAGGTACATTAAAGTTAATAAATTCTAAAAGGAAAAATTTCTCGACACAAGTATCTGATAACTGGACCAGATGGGATCAAAAATGGAGCAATGATAACAGAAGAGCTTACCAAGATGATTCATCGATTTTCGAGTCAGATCTTGATTCGCATTCATCTGAGCTACGGATGGGATCAAGAATAACCTCTTCTGGTGAAAGACTCGATATATTCGAAACCTCCGAATTTTCTCGAGAACGATTAATAGAGATTTCAGCAATATCGGCACACTCTAAATGAAATATCATCAACATATTTAAAAGAATTAACTACCATCTGCTGAGGGTAAGCATGTATCTTGATCGCCAGTGGAGGATTTGGTAGGTTCTTTGGGACTTTACGAGGAAATTCAGGATTAATAAATCCAAAGAAGATGAAATAAAAACATTTTAAACTTACAAGGTAGTTTCTTTAGGTGAACTATATGATTTAGATTGACCATTATTCAAAGTTGATGAAGCATTAAACGTCAGCCCTTCCTCGAACGCGTTACTTGAATAGTTCACAAATTCTTCAGGTTCTAATGATAATAATGATTTCACTCGTTGACAAGGTTTATTCAATTTTTAAACAAGTCCAAAATGGGAGGCGTACCTGAAGAGGAAGACTGAAAAATGTAAATTATGCCATAAGTATAATACTTACATCATGATCAAGTAGAACGAATGACGGAGGTCTCTGCATTACGATGTATTATCTAGTCACCAGACCAAATAAAGTTAAAAGCACAATTTGAAACAAGATTTCCGGAACAAAGATGACAAGGCAAATAAATTTCGTTATCCAGCCACCCTATCATCCTCCAAAAATTTTGATAAATAGAAAAATGTTATAGATATACAATAAAGTTTTTTGAAAAACCACATAAGAATGTAGAATCTTAAATACTTTATTTAATTAGGAAACTCGGAGTGTCGGAAGCCATCAAGTTGATTTAATGAATCTCAGCATTCTTGGAGACGAGGCCATGCGACTAATGGTAGATTGAGCAATCGCAGTCCTTTATTCAGAGACATAATATCTAAAAAGTCCCTAATGGTGGTCTCAAAATAGTTCAGTTTAATTTTTTAAAATGAATATGCGTTCGAGATATTCCGAAAAACTTGTGAATGAGTCAATGCGTCAGCTCTGTTTCATCGATGCCGTTGATAAGGTTTAAAAAATTTGGGATCAAACTTATGTATGAGTTTTTTGCCAACAAGAATGTTTAAGGTTAAATCAAGGCTAACTTATTTACCATCAGGTAAAAAGCAGAAAATTTTATTCAGTTTTAGATTAGCCATTATAAATGCAAAAAGATATCATTTACATACATTGAGAATTTATGTTTTATCACAAACAAGTATAAGAACTATTTCTATTTATAATTATTATTTAAATTCTTACAGAATAAAAAAATACACTGATTAGATGACGCAGCAAATATGAAATGACCCTCAAATCAGATGTTTGTTACATTTAAACGATTATAGTTTTTAATAAACAACGAAATAGAGATGTAGGATTTTTTAATATAACTATTTAAAAATATGATCATGTTCATAGGCTACAGCATAATTTACGAATTATTTTACAAAATGAAAAAAATTAATACGGATGAATTTGATTCATTATCTAGCTTATCTTTTGACTCCCCAAATTTAAGATAAATTTACAATCCTTAATTTATATATTTTTAACAACCCTTTATATCAAATTTTGACATCAAAATAACAATTAACTTGACAAGTTGCAACGCCATTATTTTTTAAGATTTATGTAATGTTCCATAAATAAATATGCTATAAACTTTCTATGCTGCTTCTGTTCAGATCGTATACTATTGGTTGACAATGAACAAAGTCTTTTTAAAAGTTTATTTATTGTTTTATTCTTTTTTTATGCGGACATTTGCGAAATTACAAACCCAAATATTATAAAAATTCCATAGATTCTGCCTAAATTAAGCATCCATTTTTATGCGTAATCGAGTTGAAGAGCTTTTCTAAAAGGATATTATGTCATTCACGTACAGATTTGAGGAATTCAAGTACCTTCTCCTTGCATATTTCCAAAACTATGATGCTCTGTTGGTCATCATGATTTAATAATTTGGCAATGTATTTTTACTGTTCATACTTTTGGCGTACAGTATACATACTCTTTGATAATTCAAAAAATATATCTCACTTCCTATTCTCCTCCTTCAATGCGATGATAAATATTAACAGATTACTCATAACTCCATTACTTATAAAATTAAGCACTAAACTCTACCGAGTTATTCTAATTTTATATGAAAAATCGCATTTCACCGTGAAATAACTAATTTATTTGAATGACTTGTTCTTCAATTCTAAATATGACATGACACCATCGCCTAAAACGTTAACGATTCCGAGAAAACGGATTAAGTTTTGTCAGGCGAAGTTTTGAACCATTAAAAAATTAAAAAGGGTGCTACAAATAATATTTAAACAATTTTTTAAAATGATTAGGGAATTAAGCTGTTATTTCAAATTTCATTAATATATTTCAGGATGAAGAATACACTCGTTTCTTTCCATTTGCTAAATTGAACTTGTTGAATGTGGTTAGAATGATATATGACATAGTGATCAACTGTCAAAATAGTAAGTTTAAATAACACTTAACTAAAAATTCTGGGAAATTTTTCTTGAGAGCTCATTTGGTATGTAAAACTCTGGATTTAATATAAGACTATTTACAAAAATAAAATTAAAGGGGGTAGGCAATATTCTTGAATTAATATTTTTGTTTTTTGGGTGATTCTAGGTACAATAATAATCAGAAGTGCAGGACACAAAATTAAGAGTGGCTGTAACAAATATTATTGACCTATGGACCTCGCTGGTAAATTGGGGCAATAGAAGACGATTTCTTTGTTGTTGTAACGATAAGGAAATTCTTGGGTTACCTCTATGGACATTTAATACAGTCAGAGAGTTAACGGGTCGATTTTGACTCAATTCACCCCATGAATAATTTCACAGTAAGCAACTAATACTCGGTTTCCTGCGGTAATTTTAATACCTAACAGAGAATCCGTTTCAACCAACTATAATATCAATGCATCAAAATCAAAACTTGCAATTTTGTGCTCTATTAAAATTCCTATCGATCTACTGGACCAAAATTGACATTTGAGATTTGTGAGTACTTGATTGGCATAATAACCATTTAGGTGTTCAATCCCTTGATGTAAGAAAAGACGAATTACAATGTCTGCTGCATTCCTTGCCCGCTTTGGAACTTGGCATCTTTGTCTTTTGGAAAAAAATTAAATATACTTCTCGGCAATAATGTCGAAAAATTAGTTTACTAAGGAAAAAAATTGAATTTTCTTCCTTCAACGTGCCCAGACACAAACTGAACTCAAACACCTGCTTGCTAAAAGCGAAGCTTTAATTCAATGCCCCATGTGCATCTTTATTTGTCAGCTAAAACAGGAATAATTTATTTATTTATTTCAAATGGCTGGCGTTTCGACAGCTATAATTAGTCCTTTAGCTGACTCCTTTCTTCACAGAGGGGAGGTTCATCAAAGTAGCAGAAAGTCGAGGGGTGGGGAACAGTAGAGCGATTCACAGATGTAAAAGAGGCAGACAGACACGAAGGTAGAGAAAAATGTGAGGTGAGTTCTGTGAAGGGGTCGAATATGACAAGCAGTCGGGCCATGTTAGTTGTCATCAGCTCTTTAGTTGACTTCGGGCTTCACAGAGGGGGGGGGGAGGAACTTCAAAGTGAGAAAAATTCGAGAGGGAAGAGGGAAGAGTTGATTGGTTCACAGATGCAAGAGAGGCAGGCACAAAGGCAGAAAAAAATTAAGGTGAGTACTTTGGAAGTGGTTAGATATGACACACAGCGGGATCATGGTTATTTAAAGTGATAGTCAACTGTCGGCTTATAGACTTTTACCGCATGAGGATATGCTGCCCAGGGTGCACCACGTGGAGGTAAATATATCGAGCACAGCCAACAGAACTAATTTGGACAAACCGTTTATCATACGCGTTCTAGAGAGTAAACGATTTAATTTTCCCATATATAAAATTAGTTCCTTTAATATTTTTAATCCGATATCCATGCGGATCATCACGCTCTGTGCTACCAACCGGCAGGATTGGACAGATTTTTAATGCCCCGTCGTTAGAGCGATTTACAAAACAATTTTTTCGATTTATTTATTTATGTATTTAAGTTGCTTTAGGAAATATGATGAATTACAGTCCAAGAATAATATGTATTGAGCTTTGTTTTGAATGATCATATGTTTCAGATTTTTCGAGTACTTTGCAAAAATGGAGCTTTTTTACATTTGAATCTTTTCTTGATAATTTAAATATCAGTATTCCGGTTCTATAATAAAAATATTAATATGATAATAATAAGCTATGATTTTATTGCATAAGTTTATTTTGCGTAGAACAAAAATTATTAAAGATAAGTTTTAAAAGCTATTATTTCGCTTGCACTTAGGTCTACTTAAATATTATAGTAGAATGATTCTCGAATAGAGTAGTTATATTCGTATTATTCAATTAGTGAAAATTTAGTGTTACAGTAAAAGTATACCAATTTATATATTTTGCGATAATTGCTTTTCTTATCGGTAAGTCGCTTGAATGTTCAAACTGAAAGAGAAACCTGGAAAAATTCTAAAATATTTATTTATTTATGACAAATGGCAGGCGTTTTGATAGTTATCATTAGCCCTTTAGTTGACTTCGGGCTTCATAGAGAGGAGGAGAAATATCAAAATAAGAAGAATTCGAAAGGAAGAACAGAAGAGTGATTCACAGATGTAAAAGAAACAGACAGACACCAAGGCTCAGAAAGGGTAAGATGAGGACTGTGATAGGGGTAGAATATGACATACGATGGGGCCATTATAGTTTGAGGTCAGAAGTCAACTGCCGGTTTATAGACTTTTTTGCTGTATGAGTATACGTTGCCTAGGGTGCACCACATAGAGATAAGTCTATCATACACCCCGGTATTAAATATTGAAGCGTATCTTTCATCATTCAGAGCATACATTAGGACATTTTCGAAAAACGAACACGAAATAATTTCAAATTAGATGCAGAAAATGGTGTAAAACAAAAGCGTACATAAATTATCCGACACATATTATTAATATTACCCATTCTGTCAAATTCAATTGACATAACTATTTTTAATTTATTGGCATCTCATGCAATGACTGGCTCCTAAAAAAATATGCAGAGAAAAACTATTTCAGAGATTTTCATTAATAATAAAAAACTAGAGATTCTTACTCCATCTTAAAAAAAGGTATAAAGAGTGGGTAAGGAAGTAGTAGCAACAAATAATAAGTTTTAGTTCCAGTCTTATTTAAAAGGAGTCATGTTATGATGTATTTCAAAAGTCTGTGATTCAACTCTCAAGATAGGGTTAGTAAATTGGACATACATTGGGGTCATGGTAGTTTGAAGTGAGAAGACAACTGCCGGTTAATAGACTTCTTTTTTAGCCGTGAGAGCATATGTTGCCCAGGGTGCACCACGTGGAGGAAAGTCTATCGCACACCTCGTTTTAAGGCCAATTATGTTCTGCTACGGTAATTTGCGCAGATATATTTGTCATTGACACAGAGAAAGTGCTCAAGCAATTACTCAAAGTACATTTTAGTTCTCGATATATGCGTCTATTGAAAAAAT